TGTTTGTAGGACTCTTCTCTCAGAGCCAGTACTGAACCAGGGGCCCAGCATGGTGTAAAGCAATATGCAAAAAAGATGCTGTCTTTTCTGATAAAGTCCTGATTACTTCTGTTCATTTAAATAGATTGGGGCAACTTTTACAGAAGTAGGGTCTCATTTTGCTGACATCCTGATGAAGTTCCAGTGTGAGTGAGTGCTGTGCCCACCTACATTTCCTTGTTTTAGTTTCAGTTCAGTAAGTTCACTGGTTGCAGCTGTTCACTGGTTTGTAAGCAGTTACTGCATTTCCTGAATGTAAAGTGCATTGTACTGCGTTCAGGTCTGCATATCACTATTAGAAGTTTAACACTGGTTTCTCTTATGGATTTAATATGTAGTGTGGAGGCGCAGTCAGCTGGTCAGATGCACTTTTATGGCATGACTTTTTACTAATTACCCACATGGTAATGGTTCCTTATTAATCCATGCATGCACACTTATTCTGGAATAAGTTCTTTGTTCCTCTTTACTTTAACCCAGGGGGTTTCAGTGACAGGAACCAAGGCATTTTAATAACGAGAAAGAGATTGTGAAACCCAATAGGTCTTCCAGCGTTGTTTTCTATATTAACTTAGTCTAAGCTAAAAGCAGAGGCAACTTTTAAACTGGGATCGTAGTTGGATTGGAAAACTGAATCATGAGTTTTTCAGTTAATTTTGAATATTCTGTTTTATCACCTATTACATTCTTAGCTACATGCTTGTGATGACTTAGTTTAGTGTGTCCATTCCATGTTGGGATATTTTATCAAAGAACACTATATGTTTACTGTAATCTCTAGGGGCCTTTCTGTAATTTAAATGTTGAAGTATGTACATTGTGGTCTAACTGTGTTTATAGATGTCTCAGGAAATATAGCCTGTCCTAGTCAAAAAGACCAAGACTGAATCAGTTCAGTGTTTGCAGGTTAGTTTGTGCTACAGAGATTAAATTGAGAAGCAAGTAGATAGACATTCACTTTTGATTCAGGAAATGCAGCTACATGCCTGCAGTGGCTCAGGCCAGAAGCTGGGGGGCACTAAAGCATGCCTCCCAGCCTGCCAACCACTCCCAAAGAGAAGGGACTGAAGCTCCAAGGGATTGCCCCCTTCCCTGCTTGAGTGGAGGGGCTAGCATGCTGAGGTGAAGGGGAGGGCACTTTAAATCCCCCACTCTGGCCCACATGAGACCCCAGCCCGGGTCCCAAAGCATCAGGTAGACCTGGCTCTTCCCCTGGAGCTGTCAGGCTATCAGCTGGGGTTTGCTGTGAGGGGGAATCCCTCCCAAGCTGTTGTCCCCACCACCCCTGCACTCCGCTTCCTGCTTGAGTGGAGATCAGGGGGCATGGTCATGTCCTGGCCCAGGGTAGTGCACTGAGCTGGGGAAGAGGATTTAAACTCCCTTCCTGCGCCAGACCCCATGTGGGGTTTGCTGGGGAACTGGGGGCAGGCAGTCCCTTCCAGGCTGGAAAAATCTGTCAGGGGCTGCCGTCCCTCCCTTCCACCCAGGCAGGCCTGGCTGCTGTTTTTGTTACTACTTCCTCCCCTATCCACCCATACATTCTCTCTGTTTCATCTACCTCATGTCCAATCTGAGCCCATATCAGGCTATTTGAGGCAGGGATATTTTTGTCAATAAGGCCATCTGATTCTTTGTTGAAGTTTATGGGTCCTTTCATAGCGCAACAAGGGTCTGTATCTTCCCATATTCCATTTCATTCATCACTGTTTTTTCTTCTGTATTTTTTATTATTTTAACTTTATTGTTTATTTCTCGGGACTTTAAATTGGTCACTTAAGATATCTTGGCTAGAGCTATATTTCTGATATTGCATGTCATAATGTTATTGTTAATGTGTAATATTAAGAATGGAAATAAATGCCTTATACCAATGCTCAACAACCTTTATAGGCTGTGGGCCAGAATGACTTACCTTAGGTGAGAGAGAGGCAGGCTGTAGGACCCAGCTGCCTTTTCTCCCTGCCACCGAAGTCCCACATCTGCAAGCCTGGCTTTGCATATTGTAGGTTCCAGGCTCCTTCCTTGTACCGTTGAAAAGGGAAGGATTTTTAAGAGACGATACCAGTTTCTGATCCAGATTTTTGAACAAAATACTGGACCTTAAACATGCCAGTAGGTAAGGATAAATGATCCTTGTTTCACTGTTTAGTATGAATTGAGGTAGCATAAGAATTTTCTACATTTTAGGGGATAAGAAAAATATTTTGTGGCTGTAGTTTAAAAGAAAATGGCAGCCATCTTAAAGTTGCTGAGATGTTTGCAATTTTCAGAGTGGTCCTAAGAGAATCGGATTAATAGAATGAAATTGAGGTGATCCAGAAAGTGCACAACTAATGCAATTTATCACATTTCTGCAATTTATCCCACAATAATTATTACTAAGTTTGTGGTGTAAATCTAGAGAAATAAGGTACACCCTCGGGCCACTTCAACATGAGACACTGACTGTGCAGGCTTCGTGTGGCAGAAAGTGTGACACAGCGCTACTGCACATTAGTCTTGGGCTATTGCGCAGTCAGCACCACAAAAAAGCCGTCCGTCAGTGCAACTGCACAGTAACGACTGTGCAGTTGCACTTGTGGCCAGGGTGAACTAAGCATCTTTATTATGTGAAAAGGAAGATGGTCTTTGTCCACACAGGGTTAAAGCAGATTGGGTCTTTTTGTAACAAATATATAGTGTTGAAGCATATAGTTAAATATGGTGAAGTTATCTATATACTTTTATCATGCCTATTCTACAGATCATTTGATTTTTCTGTTTATTGTTTGTGGGTTGGTCTTTATTCTATGAGATGCCTTCCTATTGCAGGAGGAAAATTACCTTAGTTCTTTAAAAGAACATCTCCTTAATATTTGGCTCTCCTTTTCTTTTCTAGGGTTTAATTTAACATTTTTCTTTTAAACTGACAAGTGCTTTACAGTCTAGTCTTAAGTTTTTGTTGATTTATTCTTTTTTGCATCTCTATGGTAAACTTTTATTCTCTTTCTTTGAATCAGCATTTTTATTAAGATGTTTTTCACATGATATTTTTAGGAAATGCAAGTGGCTTTGTTTCATCTGTTATATATACCTATTTTTCATCAGTCCAATAAGTATATAAACAGTAATCTAATTGGGCATAATATCTTTTAAAAATTTCAATTATTCTTGGACAATGACACCAGTTAAATATTTTGGCAACTGATTTTTTAAAATTTTTTTTTGCATAACTTGTATACATGTTTTGAAATAATAGGACTGTGTTCTTGAATGATAAAGCAATATTTGTAAAGGGGGCTCTGATAAAAAGGTTGTCCTAGCTTTAAATTTATGTAGTTACATAGAATCCTAATGATTGGATACTAAAGCAGACTTCCTGGGCTCTACCACAGAGATTTGGTACATTCATATTTACAGCTGATGCAGCTAAAAAATTAATGTAATTCAAATGAAACGTATTTTAATTATTAAAAAGCATTCGCAGTCCAAATATGCTATAGTAACATGCCATTTTAAATATATGATTTCAGAACTTGGAGATTTTTAACCAGATGTGTTGATTCTGGAAGTACAGTTTCACTCATAATACTCACTCTTATACTATGCCTTCTGTCCTTTTACACCGTGCTTAACAGCCCTGCCGTGCATTAGGCAATTGGCAGACCTCTAGATAAATGCTGCTGTTTGCTGCATGGCATCGCCTTGCTTATGATAGCCACAGTATCAGGTTTAGGAGCTGGAGGTGTAAAAGAAGAGACTTTCTAGAATGGGGAGAATATGGAAAGGGGGAGGAGAGCACCAGCAGCTTCAAGGTTGAAATGGGGTGGTGGGGAACATTAGTGGGGATCATCTGAAGTTCAGGAGTAAGTGGAACGAAGAGGCTGATGATCTTTGAGCAGTTCTTGCACTTCCTCTAAAAATAAGATCCCTAAATTCCCAGTTTTGCAGATAACGAGCACAGTGATGTGCTCAAGAATACACAAAAAGTTTGGCTCCGGCCAGGATCAGGCCCAGCCCTCCTAATTTGCAGTTCTTTACCTTCGCTAAAAGCACAGCTGTGTTTCTGAGTTTGTTTGCTAATTCATTTATTAGATTTATATGCTGCTCTTTTCAAAAAGACGACATAAAAAAGATGACATACAGGGCAGCTTACAGTACAAGACAAAAACAGAATAAAATATTAAACTAAGAAAGTATAATAAAGCACCTTCCCCTGCCCTCCTCAGTTTCCCCTCTCTCCACCCCCCGCAAATGACTCCACCCCTCCTGGTCTCCTTCCTCTGCTCTAGGAGTGGACCACTGTGCCACCCAACCTTGCTTCCCATCTACTGCTTTCATATAGACTCCTCACCACAATATTACCCTTGGTAAATTTAGGAATAGTTCACCACAAGCCAAAAATTCACCTGTTCCATGCTAAATAATACTTGAACCAAGGATGTCAAACTCACCTGGCCCCACAGGCCAGAATATGACTGGGGCTCTCCTCATTGGCTGGATCAGAATGCATCCCACCCTAAAAATTCATGGCCTCTCTGGGAGCCTCTCATGCCAGATGATACAGCTCCATGGGCCATATGTTTGATCTCCAAATAATATAAAAAAATCTGCAAGGTGTATAGCATGTACATATTATTTATTCATTTGAAGGATTAAAATCATTCAGGTTAGTATCAAAATTTCACTGGGCCTGGGATTTTGCCCATATTGTCAACTGAGGTGCATTAGAATGAGATTATATTCTCAAAATATTTGTTGGAGGATATTTTTGGTATTCCGTGATCATTTGGAAGTAGTGTTATGAAATGTAGTAAACTGTATTACTGGTCATAAATGTAAGAGCACAACCACACTGTTGAATTGTAACAGTCTTTTTAATTTACTTTCCTATAAAAGTGTTTCCTGTGTAGTTGTTTTCTGTATGTTTTTTGCTCTTTACATACCCAGCCATGCGTAACTTTTTATTTTCCTTTCAACAGGTAGAGAAAATTGTTGACAAGAGAAAAAACAAGAAGGGAAAAACGGAATATTTAGTACGATGGAAAGGATACGACAGCGAAGATGACACCTGGGAACCAGAACAGCACCTTGTAAATTGTGAGGAATATATACATGAATTTAATAGACGCCACAACGAAAAGCAAAAGGAAAGCACATTAACCCGGACAAATAGGACCTCTCCTAATAATGCCAGAAAACAAATATCTAGGTCTACCAATAGTTCTTTTTCAAAGACATCTCCTAAATCTTTAGTGATTGGTAAAGACCATGAGTCAAAAAATAATCAATTGTTCACTGCCACACAGAAGTTTCGGAAAAACAATTCACCATCTCTTTCTGGCAGGAAAAATATGGACCTTGCAAAATCAGGTATCAAAATCCTTGTGCCCAAAAGTCCCATTAAGAGCAGGACGGCAGTTGATGGCTTTCAGAACGACAGCCCTGATAAATTGGACCACATAGAACAGGATCAAGAAGACTCTGTAGCACCAGAAGTAGCAGCAGAAAAACCAGTGGGAGCTTTATTAGGACCTGGTGCAGAGCGTGCTAGGATGGGGAGCCGGCCAAGGATACATCCATTAGTGCCACAGCTACCAGTGCCAGTAACAGCCACAATTGCATCAGCATTAACAATAAATGGAAAAGGTAAGTTTAGAAGTTAACTGTCTACATAGATTATCTGTTAAGTTGGGCTCGCTCTGTTTTTTTTTTCTTTTTTTTTAATTCACATGCAAACAATTATTCATTCAGCAGACCTGTTTTACCCATATTAAACCAAATCTAAAGATTTTCACAACTCCTTTATTTTTAAATAGCTATGACTGAAAAAGCCTTTTAGAACTTTTCCAGCTTTTACAGGCAGTCCTCAGATTTATGACACAATGGGTTCCTGAAAACCACGTCTTAAGTCGAAACCAATTTGCCCGTAGGAAACAATGTTATAAATGGGGGATTGGTTCCTGAACCAAGGCCCGATACCCTATTTTCACCAAAAATAACCCAGAATTTTGTACTCAATCAATTATAGATGAGTAATATAGCTACATTAATGTATTTATACTGTAATTAGCAATCATATTGATTTGGGACTTCTTTGAGGAGACTTTGCTGGACATTTTGAAGGGCTCTTGGTTGGACTTTTTGAAGGGTTCTTGGCTGGAGTCTTCTCAGGAGTCATGGCTGCAGGTATTTCTGGAGTCTTGTCTGCTTTCTTAAAGAAAGTGTCCAAGGAAGTTTGAACAGATGTTCTACAGGGAGATGGGTGACGCAGCAAACTTGTTCGCTGGCATGGCTTGGCGTCAGATCAAGTGTTGTAAAGTTGAAACTGATGTCAGAAAGCTGAAACAGGGTGTCAATTTATAAACATTGTAAGTGTGAAACGTTGTAAGTCCAGGACTGCCTGTACTTTTTTTGCTGAGATCCATTGACAATTTGTGGTTTCAGAATCAGCATAAGATGCATCTGTGTTTGACTTAACATTCAGTGTACCATTCCCAAAGATTATATCATTGCTTTTGAATTGCTTTAATTTTTTCTAAATAGGTTAAAGACTCACATTTGTCTTGAATGTTAGGAATATAAATGATGGGAATAGACACATGATTTTAATAGGGATTCTTTACTGTGGTTTACATTCTATTTTGCCTAACTGTTATTTGGAATGAACCCAGGAGAATTATATTCTTGTGTTTTGTGCCTATGCAAATTTGAGTCAATTGAGCAGATGAAAATGCTTGCTTTCTGGACTGAATTCAGTCTTACCTTTTCTTTTTATAGTTTATCAATATTTGTTTGTATATCTCATTTTATATTTAAGACTTCATTTAGATATAAGGCCAAACTTCTTCTAATATCTCAATTAGTTTTGCAAAATTGTACTACCAAAAAAAGCTGCTTCTATTTTTGGAACTGAGCCCTCTGTTTAAATCTTCCCTGTTCACTGTTTTGCTCCTGAAGATCTTTGATTTCTTAGCAAGGCAAACATACCACACAATTATAAACATGTTCATACCATTGTGTACAATCATATTCTTACGACTGTATTTTTAGGACTCAAATTTCAAAAGAGTAAAAGTGCATCTCCAAACAGAATGTGGAAGTCAGAATATGGGCAGGAGACAAAAATGTTTGAAATCCAGATCAGGGTTACCAAAAAGTGCAGTTACAGGCACAGCATATGGGCACAAAGAGTGTGTGAGGTCTCTGCAGCTGTCAGTGCCTGGTGCCTTGATTTTATTAAAATTTTCAGAAAACCTGGACACAGCAAGAGAGGTTGGAAGGAGATGGGCAATGAGGAACCCACTCTGGGATCTCCAATGTCAGGTCACAGATCAGCCATTATACTGCAGATGAGCTAGGTAACCATGGTAATGCACTATTGGTGCCAGGAATATCTTTTCTTGGGCATGGACAGAGGAGGAACATAAACCTCACAGGACACAAATAGGAGCTGGAGAAAAAGTCAGGATATGCCAGTGTATAGAACTGATGTCTGGGGGCTTTGTGAAAGATGCTGTGTGAGGCTAAAGTGTGTGCATTGTTGGTATCTGCAGACAGAGGACAGTGTCCTATCTTCAGAGGACAGTGTCCTATCTTCAGCGTGGTCACCTTCTAGCTTTCAGAGCAAGAAGCAGGATCAACAAAGATCCCAGTAAGGCAAAATCACTGCCTACAAATGGCAAAAGTGTCTAGCATTCAGATCTCAGAAGTGATAGCATAGGCCACATGAGGGGGACAGTACAGCACTGTAAGTATAAATGGGGAGATAAATTAATGGAATTGCGAGGAAAGGAAATCAAGGACTCTTTTTTTTGTGGAGGAAAGAGGGCATGTCAGATTTGCTTAGTTGTAAGTTTGCTTATCTCATTTCCTCAACTGCTGTCCTCTGGTTCGGCCTTTTTAAGACATCTAGCCAGAAAACCAATACACTACCATGTCGGCACAAAGCCACCTCATGACTCTCATGATCATGGCAGTGCATGACGTCTATCTCCTTTATCTCTCTTCACAGGGGAAAATATATAGGACCAACAAAAATCCTACAGATGGATACAACAGTGTTTTAAAACAGACTTATTATTGGAGCTGGTCTGGAATCTTTCATCAATCTTTTTGTCAGAAAAGACAAATCCATCAAACCGAAACTGTTTGTCAGAGGAGTAGGGTTGGAATGGTGTTGTAGCCATGAGGGTCCAAGAAATGTCTGAGAAGCACGCATTTTTTTGTGATAACTTTTATTGGGCCAGCTGTATAATTGGGAGAGCTGTTGGACATGTGCCCTTCCTCAGGTCTGAGGAAAGCAGACACAGACTGAGCTAAATATCAGAAAAGACTTCATGAAATGCTGAACAGTCTGCTTGAAGGAATGGAGGAGGTGAACTGGGCATGAAAAAATGCCATTTTGAGATGCAAGAAGTGCAGTAGAACAGGCAGCCTGGGAGGGAGACCATTCAAGAATGGGGTACTCTTCTGTCATGTCTTTTCTTAATTTTATCTCCAAGGTGATTGAATGTTTTATTTAAAATTGCTGTGTCTCCTCCAGTTTCACCAAGGAAGGCAGGAGGAGTTACTTAGCTAGGAAAAAGGCAGAACTGAAAGAATGTTATAGTGGAGAAAGTCAAATAATAAGATTTCCAACCAGAGATCTTCTGCAGTGAGAGTAAGAATGACAGGCAACAGAGATTGGGACAAAATGAGGGCTAAAAGTTGGCAAAATGGACCCAGAGTTGGGCAAAAGAGTTGGAAGTGGTCAAAACTGATGGACTGGAATTTACAGAAGGGCTGAGAGGCCTGGGCAAATGTCCAGCCGTCACTCCTAAAAGTGGTGAACAGCAGAAGTTGTGCTTGTTCCAGTGCATTCCCCAGTGAGTTTGGTTTATAGGATTAAGCATGTCCTCTGGCTGAGCATAATGGATGGGTACTGTTAAGGAGGGTTCAAATACCTCAGTGGCCTGCTACAACCCCATAACAGTGGTCACATTGCAGAAGGGTAATGCTTACCTGTGTGGTTTTGTGGTTCACTCTCAGAGCAGTGAAAACAAGGAAATCATTGATAAAGCACATTTCTTCAATTTCCACTAGACTCTTGTTTCCAGGCAGCCAGCAGACCAGCTGGTCTGCTCTGTTTTCCGCTGCTCCCTAGAGCCATCCATCCTGCCTGTTGTGTAACTGGTATTTGCCATACACATGACTGAACAGATCCTGTCAATTATCTTGTCCCTTGAGGCCCGCATTAACAGTTGGAGTATTTCAAAATGGCAGTCGCACCACTATGAGGTAAGGTTTTAATGATTGCTGAAAGTATTTTAGATGCAAATTAACCCAGGTTTGTTCCTGTAACATAGATGGACACTTGTGAGGAATGGTTGGTTAAAAAATACTCTTCAGAATGTAGAAAGATCACAGTTTTCCGCAATTTCAGCTTTAGGTCTTTTCTAGCCATTAAGATGGAGATTAAAAAATTCTGTCAAATGCAGACTTTGAATGTCAGTTTGTGGTAAAGGCAGCAAGTCTGCACTTTGTTGTAAGACCATTTTTCCATATACACAGCCAGAAACCTGGGAACCAGAGTCTTTTTGAACAACCCCACAGCAAAATTATTGGGCCAAAGTCGGGGCAGGGTGCGGTACCTTAGAAACTAACCAATTCAGAAAGGTATAAGCTTTTGTAGGTGATAGCCTATGTTGTCAGATTTCATGAATGCCATTCACAGAATCTAACAAAGTAGGCTGTCACCTACAAAAGCTCACGCCTCTCTGAACTAGTTAGTATCTAAGGTATCACTCTGCCATGCTTTCTGCCTGACTTCAGACTAACACAGCTAGCTACCTCTATTCACGAATAGCAAGCTTTTTAGGTTTATAATTTCAGGGTTGGTCCTGTCACAGAATAGTACAAGTTAATTTGTAATACAGATTAAAACTGGTTTTCTTGCATACAGTTGGATAAAATGAACCTAAAAGCATTCAGGGATTGTATGGTTTGCTTCTTCCTGGCCTTGGCTTGAGAAGCATGTGCAGAAACATTTGAGGGTCATTTTTAATGCTGTGCAAGTCTGTTACTTCTTGTGATTGAGGTAGTTAGCTGTGTTAATCTGAAGTCAGTCAGAAGGCATGGTAGATATGCATCTTTATAGATTAGAGTGAGAGACCATAAGCTTTCATAAATCAAAATTAACGTCATTAGGGGCTTCACATGCTTGCCATTCCCCTGAAGGTTGAGTACTGTATATTTCAAATAGTGTCCAACAGAAATGGTTTTTAAAGTCCGGTGGTTTGTTTGTTTTTTAATTCTTCAGTACCAATGGCTTTTGAGAGATCCCACCATCTTATTTCCAGCAAGATTTCATTAGCAACAAAATGTCTTTAATGCTAGCTTTAATAACATTCATACACTTATTGTTTTGTGGGGAAAATTGGAAGTCAAAGTAGCATACATTAATTTAAGCTTTATCCACACCAAAGCATAAGTAAGTACATATCATGGTAAGCCTGTTTCTGGAGAGATGCTGTGTAGTTAAATGTATTGGTTTAAGCACGAAATATGTAGCTGCTGACTTGAAAATCAAGAACTGCCCTTCCCTTCCCCCATAATTTGTGTTATACAAAAACTATTAAATTGTGTCACTATTCCAGTGACGACAGTAA